CCACTCGCCTGACTGCCCTAACCGCCAGCATGTCAGCTCCTCTGGGGCAGGGCATTCTCAGAACCTTCTCCCAGTTTGGTCTGCTTGCCTGGAGTCATTCCCTATTTCTTGGGTGTGATAGAGACTGTGACTCTCTAGCCTAGTGGGTGGGGAGCTCATCTTTACAGGAGTAGATCTGGGTTCCAGCACTTGCTCCAGTGAATATTGAAGGATTTTATGTCGAGTCTTCACTGGAGCGGGGGCTGGGACTCGGGGCTTCCTCTTCCATGCAGCTGTCCTCACCACAAAGCTACACAGTCATGTTCAGTGTCTCCATCTCTTTTTCTGTGGCTTCATCTGTGTTTAAGTATTCCATGCCAGGACAGTGACAGCTTCAACAGGGGGGATGGCACGTGCCCCTTCCACCCCATAACTGCCTGTAGCCTGGTGGTCAGGGCACTCTGGGGCAGTGGGCAATGTCCATTCAGAGCCCTTCAGGCAGAGGAGGGAATTGGACCTGGGTTTCTCATGCCTTGTGTGGAGGCTAGGACCACTGCATTCCTGGATAAAAAGGGCGGCTGTGAGAAACAGTTTGGGCTGGGACCTCACTCGAGTGTTTGAGATTCTGAGACAGGTGCCTCCCTGCAGCCCAACATAAGGTAGGTGTCTGACACCCCTGTCCTCAGCCCTTCCAGTTGGGCAGCTTAGGTTCCTAATGGCACTTTCTGGAGCCAGGCATTATACACACAGATCAGGGGCGGGCAAAATACGGCCTCCGGGCTGGATCCAGCCTGCCAAGCCATTCTATCCGGCCTGCGGAGCCCCTAAAAAATTTAGTAAATTAATATTTATTTGCCCTGGCTCCCTGTCAAAGCTGGCTGGAGTCAGGGGCAGTAGGACCCAGCGGGAGCCCTTAGGCTTGCAGGCTTGAGCAGCCCAGCCCCGCCCTGCCCACCCCTAGCCACTTCCCTGCTTTCCTGCCCCCGCCCTGCTCCAGCACCTTGTGACTGGCTCCTGGCTGCACCCCTGGACCGCAGAGCATGGGACCACGCTGGTAGGGGTGTGTATGTGTGTGCGCACGTGTTGGCAGCCGCAGGGGCAGAGTATGTGCGTGTCTGCAGGCACAGGGCAGAGTGTCTGTCTGTCTGTCTGCAGGCACAGGGGCAGAGTGTGTGTGTGTGTGTGTGTGTGTGTGTGTGTGCATGCACGTGTTCATAGGGTGAGTCCCATATGCACAGCCCTCCATACACGTGCACCTAGGCCTCCCATCGTACTCCCATACACAAACCCCAGACACCCTCCCACCATGCACACCCACACCCCACACACCCACAGCCCCCACAAACCTATACCCACTCCCCACAATATACAAGAATAAGACTTCATTTTAAGCTATTGTGCAGTCACCTCTGCGTACACTACACAAACGCATGTAAATCAGGACAAAAATATTGTAGATGATCACTTTTTAGAATATAATTTAGTATTTTTATGGTTCTGAGATTGCAAAACCCCATGCTGAAATGAGTACTGGGGGCAAGGGGAGGGACTTCTGGTGGCAAAGGTCAGGGGTTAGGGGGGTGGTACTCCTGGTCATAAGATGGTGACCAGGGAGCAGGGCATCTGTCAAGGGGCGGAACTACCCATGCAGCCTTTGACATCTTGCCAAAATTCGGTAAGCAGCCCTCTGCCTGAAATAATTGCCCGCCCCTGACATAGATGCTGTGCAAGCTTCCTCCATTCAGCTTTGCCCAGACACCTGAATCCTGACTTTCCAAACCTCCTCCAGACCCTGCAAGGCTCTGATGATGCACCTAAGTCCTGACAGGCAAGAGTTGATGCCTCGTGCTGTTCACAAAGCCTCAGCTCCTGGAGTTACTTGACTCCGTGGGAAACTCAAGTTTTCATTTAAAAATAAACACAAAATGTTAGCTTTCCTGGGTGTGGAGTAGCTGAAAACACACCCCTAAAGGCAAATGAAAAGAATCTCCAAATTTATCCTTTTTATACCAAAGAGTTCCTGCTATTTCAGTCATGGACACTGCTCTGTCAGCACACCTCTTTTTGAACTAAACTGTCTCTCCTGATCTGTTTTTGGCCTCTCTATATCACAGACTCTTTGTTGTAAGACCTGGGTTTTGATTTTGAGATAATTGCTATGTGGATACACCACAAGTGTACACAAGTGAGGTGTGTCTAACATAAGGCAAGTTGCTGCCTTGAGGAACCTCATTACAAGAGCTGAGTGTATCTGCTATAAAATCAGGGGAAGAAAACCTTTATGAGAAAGTTGCACGGACTTAACTTAAACTGATTCTTAGTTCTTAAACTTGCTTCTTCAACCACCTAGGTTAAACCGATTTAAACTCCATATTTTGGTTTAGTGGTACTCAACTTTCAGCCTGCAAAGCTGTGTTATCCAGCCCACAGGTCTCCCTAGGGGTCTGGGAATTTGGCAGCAGGGAAGCAGTGGTAGAATTAATTACTGTTCTCCTGTTGCCAAATTTCCAGACCTGTAGGGAGCCCCACACACTGGATGATGTGGCTCTGCATGCTAGATCATGCTGGCACATGGGACCAGAAGATTGAGCACTACTGGTTTAGCTTATGATGATTAAGAATTAGTTTAGGCAAGTCCTGAGAGGCCTGCATAGTGGTGAGACCTACAAGAAGCACAATGAAGTCACTTATTTAGGTATATGACCTGACCTGTGTTTGTCCTCAAGAGTCACAGATGGTGGAAGAGTTTGGCGCTGAATTGATTCAGTTTTTGCAGGTTCATCTAAGCTGCAAGGATTGAATCAATAAGCAAATGAACAGACATTCACTTTTGATTCAGGAAATGCAACCCATGCCTGCAGTGGCTCAGGCCAGAAGATAGAGGGCACTACAGCACAGCTCTCTGGCACATAGCCAGCATGGGCTGTGTGTTTGCTTCCTCTTCCTTCTGCTCCTGAGGTCTCTGGGGGTCCACAATCACAGTAGCAGGACTCTGGAGGGTTACACATCGCTTCCTCTTCCTGATTCTAGGTGCCATAGGATTTGTAATCCCCAGCTTCAGCCAGCACTAAGTAAGCAGGGCAAGGCAACTCTGTACTCAGGGGAAGGAAAGTTGAACCCCCTTCCTGGCCCTGGATCCCAGCAGGGATTTGGCCAAGGTGGGGTGGGCAGGGAGTCAGCCCTCATTGCTCCAGCTAGGGAGCGGAGGGGCAGGGCCAGCCCTGCTCTCTGGAGCAGACAGCACAGCCCAGCCCAGGGCTGCAAAATGCTGGGATGGTGGAGGACTATGATTTAACTTGGACCAGGAAGGGGCTGGGATAGAAGTTTCATAAGCCAGTTTGACCTAAATTAGTTAAGTTGTCTTATCATTCAGTCAGGTTTATCCAGCCATTTTGAAACTGGTTTATGTGCACTGAACTTCTATTTTGTTACAGGTTTAAACCAGTTTCTGATCACTTAAACCAGTTTGTGTGCAACTTCCGTCCCTAGCCATTGTAGCTAGAAGACTGGACTGTCCCACAGAAGAGATGCTGAACTAGACAGGGCATAGGAATCACTATGTGAGGTCCCATGGACTCTGTGGTGCTGGAGGCCAGACTTGGTGATTGTAACGGTCCCTTTCTGGCCTGAGAGTTTATGAACATCTAAACTGGGCTCTCCTCTACCCACCTGTCATCTAGGTAGAAGATAAAAGTCCCATGTCATTTTACACAAAGATGAAGAAGCAGCATAAAGAAAATGGCTTATGGCTCTCCACCCCTTAAATAAAATAGGTAATAATGCCTTTCTTCTCTTCCAGCCCCCCTGTTCCCAATGGAGAGGCCTGGAGCTGTGTATAAGCCCTTGTAAAATGCACCTCTCATATCTACATGATCATTGCACAGCTAGAACTCAATTACGTTTTGTCCAGTGCCTTGAGATACCTCTGACAGAATATAGTTTTATATCATTCTCTCTCCATCTTCTTTCGTTAATCTGTTGCATCTACTAGCAGATTTGGTGACCTGGATTGTTGAGATTTTCCCTAGTCTATGATCTATGCATATAATTGGGCTTTATATAGCTTTTGTCAGTAGTTTTCCAAATATATTAAGTAGGAGCGTAAAAATTCTTACCTCTTCTTTACAAATAGGGACAGTATGTCAGGTGAGGTGAAGTGACTTGCCAAAGTGACTCAGCAAACTATTAGCAAAACTGGAGATACGACACAAATCTCCAGATAATCCGTCTGCTTCCATATCTGCTGGTTCTAAGGCCTCTCTATGCTCTGACATCATTTAACATTGGTTGTTAAACCCAGCTGTGGACAGGCTGGTTTTAGCACATGTTGATCTAGCCATGTGGCAGGGGCCAACTGTTATTCTCTGATGAATATCTAGCTTCTAATCCTCAAAAGCTGGAACAAACAGTGCTAGAATATTGTTACTTTTCAACTGCATACAGATCCCTAGATGGCCCCTTCCTTGTCCTGTTGCGGGAGCTGAAGAAAAAGACCATTCAATGTTCACTCCTAGATTAACCCCCTCACAGGCCTGTGTACCGGCACTGGGATCTCTTGGTAGGACGTTTGGATGAACTTGTGCTTTCCCTGAATTTTGGCATGTTCAGAGGAACAACACTCGGTCCACTCCCATCTGAGACAGAGTGACTCCCACAGTGACAGGCTAAGGGTTGATGCAATTTGTACAGCTGCTTGTTTTCACTCAGATGCCTGGGGAGACTGGAAAGGACTACAGAAGTGGGAGGGTGTCGTTGCTGTTGCTCAGCAGAGGAAGGGATGGTTTACTAGTATCAGAGAAATGTGTAGGCATATGTATGTGAATCTGAAGGAAAAGAGCTGGCTCCGTTGACAGCTCAGAGCCACTGAACCAGAGTATGGCACAGCTGGGGCTCCTTTTCTGCTCTCCACAGGCATTTATTTCTCTGCAAGGATGGAAGGAAGGCATGGGATAGCATGAGGAGGTGGAGTACTGGTATACATCTCAGTAACCTTGGGAATCTTGCATCCTTCCTCCTAACAGGAGCCTTTGCAAAGGTGAAAGAGAGTCAGCGGATGAGTGATGAGGGGAAAATGGATCAGGATGAGGCAGATGGGATTCGGAAACGTTGCCGTGTGGTCGGCTTCTCCCTGCAGGCTGAGATGAACCACTTCCACGAGCGACGCATGGCAGACTTCAAGAGAATGATGCAGTCCTACCTAAAACAGCAGATCATCTTCTACCAGAGAGTCAGCCAGCAGCTGGAGAGGACTTTACTTATGTACGACAACCTCTAATGCCTTCTGACTTGATGCATTGGCTAATCCCTCTTCATCTGAACTCATGTGGTTTTGTCTTTGGAACCTCCAGACCTCTGTTTGAGGTGAACTGAGAATTAATGGAAACTCATAACGCTAGTGACCAAAATCCATTTGGCTTTCCTCCATGTTCCTGGAGCTGAGGTGCTGCAGGGAATGTTACATTCATGTCTTCCAACTGACTCATGTCCGACTGACTCATATCATACCGCTACCTTCCCTGATAGCTGGACCCCTCCACCGATTCTGTCTCTGAGAGACTGTGGAGAAGACATGGGTATCTTTCATAAGGGAACAGACATTGACTTTGTGGTGCTGGTATCTCTGGTTTTGCAGTAAGTTGTAGCTTTTGGAAACATGTCCCACTAGAGTAGGGAGGTTGATACATTACAGTCTAGAGGGAAAATAAGTAGAGTTGGTCAAAAATTTGCACACCAAAAACTTTTCTGATGGAAAAAAATGACCTTTATTTGAAAATTTTTTGTGAAAAAATTATGGCAATTTTTCCATTTTTGACAAATGTTTCCACAACATTTTTACCAATAAGTTTTTAATAGAAATGTTGATGGAAATCGTGTTCCAAATCTTTGTCGGATGTGTCTGTTTACTGAAAATGTTCCATAGTGTTTGCAATAAAAATTTCAACATAGAAATTTCACCTTTTGTGGAAAATGAGTCCATGGGAAAGAAATCACATTAGGCACATCCTTGCACAAATATGGTTCCAGTTTTGGCCAGCTCTAGAAAAAAATGTAGTGTTCACTTGACTGCTGAGGTTCAAAGTCCCTACCAGTCTCAGTAAGAGGGTCTGGGCTAGATTCTGCCCTTGATTGCATGGGTATAGATCTGGAGTAGTTTCTCAGTAGTCATCAGATTTACACTGGCATGACTGTGAGATGAATACAGCCCTGTTGTCCCTTCTGCTTCTACACCTTCCTATGCTTTTCAGCTCCAGCCGGAGTTGCTTTCCCCACTATCCCTGCAAAGCTGAAGCTGCTCAAAGTCATGTTGGCCATGACACTGTCTTGGCTGTTTCTCCCCCACTTTCTGCTCATCTCTCATGTAGCACCAGCATTTAAGACATGTACTTAGGATACCAGAATGGTTGACACTTGGTTGTATCAAACACACCAATCTCTGCTGGTTCTATAGAAGAACTTCTATAGCTCATTCTCCTCTTTCCTCCAGCACTGGGCTGATGTACTCTTGACAGAAGACTAGTCCTGGTAGCTTCTCACTTGCTGCAGGTTTCACTCTTGCCCCCAGCAACAACTAACGCTGATGAGTGCTTGAGGGGCCAAGATGTTCAAATTCTTTGGTGCCAAGGGCTGTGTTGGGAAATTGCCAGGACCCTTAAGCTGGGTCTTCATCTATTTTTCCATATGCTCCCTCTGTGCTGACAATAAATACAGAGAGCCAGACTGTTCAGCTTCCCCAAAACCTTCCTTAAGAGAGGAACACAAGCTCCTTGTTGGTTGAGCTCACCCGCACTTGGCTTAGGCAAATCTGTCCTGTTCCTGCCTCTGCAATGAGTGGGCTCCCTCCTTTTCAGACTTCAACACCATTTTAGGCCTCAGACTGTAATTCCTGGGCAATCCTGGTTTATCATTGGCTGCTTCTTCACATCACTGAGTTTGTCACTTAGGCAATACAAGCTTCGTTTTCAGAATGCTGAGTGTGCAGCTCCTGTTGATTTCAGCTGGTGCTCTAGCTGCTCAGCCCCTTGGAAAATCAGGCCTTGAGGCTATAGGCACTTTACTGAAGAACTTCTTCTCCTGCTGGGGTAAAGGAACCAAGGCAGCTGGGTATGGGGAAGCCAGGCTGCTCATCTCCCAGGCTTTATAGATGCCAAGGAGAGCATTTCAATCTCTGTGACAATGCAGAGTCTTGCTAGTATCCACCCCATGACCCCATTCCCTGCTGTTATACAGATCCTATGAAGACTGGCAAAGGGCAGTTGGCTTGTACTTTGACCTTCCCGGAAACCCGCATGTCAGGTCAAGAGACATTGACGGAGCAGCTTGACTCTAGACAATGGACTGATACTTCTGCAGCTGGGGAGATCCCTCAGTGACTGAAGTGGGTTTTCTTCCCCCTTCCTCTACTTTATACATACTTTATTTCTTTATAAACAATCCTCTGAGGCTTCATATATGCCTGCTTGGGGTGGGGGCTGACCAGGTGCCAAAGAAGTGGCTGGAGGGATGGAGCGTGAATTAAAGTTAACCCTTTATTGGAGGGGGCAGAATGTGGGGGCAAAGGGAGAGAAGAAAAGTAGAACCCTAAATGAGCCATCCCACACAGCAAGGGCAGAGCGTATGTACTGTCTGCACCTAAACAGCATTTTGGGAAGGGAGGGGCTGTGGATGCAGAGGAAACCAGGGAGGATTCAGGGATCAGGTGCCATGCTAGAGCTGTGTGTGTTCATAGGGGGAGAGCCTTTACCGTGACACTGGGCTGGGAAAGCAAACAGGCCCAGCGCGTGGGCCTTGTTTTTCCAAGGGAAACATCAAAAATAAATGACAGCCAAGAAGAGATGTTAGGCCGTTTGGAGTTATTCCAGGGTTAAAAATAGAACGGAAATCATGTGGACCAGCTGGGTATTGTTAAAAGAATAACATGCTTGGGAATGTAGTAGGCTGCCCCTTCTCCCTCGTGGGGAGGAGGAGATTGGTCTGTACCTTCACATTTCTTCATCTGTTAAGAACTGCATTTTCTCCCTGATTTTAGATAACAGGCAGAGCCCTTGTACAAGCTGGGCACTGAGCTGTGGGCCTGCTGCAACTCTGCTACAGCCACACAGCCAGAGCCGTCCCAGCACCTATGGTCCCCACAGGGGTTTGACACCCTTCCTGGCAACCCCCCCTCCAGGTACATAGGGCTGGGAGAGGCTGGGATGGGACTTTGTGGAGGACCTGTTGCTAGCTCCTCTGTATTGCTTCCTGCCTGGTGTTTGACTGCTGTAGGTCTGAGCTACCTCCAGCACCGGCAGTGCTGCCTCATACTCCCTGCAGCATTGCTGGTGAACAGGACGGGCCTGGTCCAACTTTGTATGGCTTTCCTGCTGCCACACAATTAGAGTGCCTCCTACTGGGAGAGGTGTGGCTTGGATTAGGTGTACCATAACCTCCCAAGGGCCAGAGTGGGGTGTTACCCCCTTATGCTGTAGGCTGCCCTTTGCTCTCTTTACTTGTCTTGTGCTGCTAATGCCCTAGGAGGGTTAACAACTTGTTTGTATCCTAGCTGGACAGAGAGTTGTGTGATGCTGTGGCTCTGGAGGGGCCAGATGAAAGCTCTGTCCTTGCCACATGCTGAAACCAGATGTTGCGTGGAGGCTGTGGATCCCAGCCCCTTATTCAATCCCATTCTTTTCTGAGAGAACACAATAGACAATGAGCCTGTGCTCTCCCTCTCTTTGGAGGCAGGCAGGCAGGAGGGAGCCTATTGTTCCCTTCAGCCAGCAAAGAAAGCCCAATGAAAGAGGAGTGTGACCTAGGCAACAATCTTCCCTCCCTCCCCCAGCACAGGGGATATCTTGCCAGCTAATAGGCGGGAGTCAAGGTTGGCACAGTCCCCAGTCAGCACAGTAGGGCAGGCTCCTGGTGCCACTGTTAGCATGCTGGTGGTCTCTGCTGGGTGACTGGGACCCCAGATAACTCTGGTACAGTCTCCAGGGGAAAACAGACCATGCATAGAGTGCCAGCTCTATAGGATCTCCTTCCCTCTGGATAACTGCCAGTTGCTGGACAGCTCTTGTTGCTGGATGGTTATAGGCCAGAGGGCATCTCTAGGCCTTCACGACCTGCAGTCAGGCATCTCTGCAA